CTCGACAGAGTTAGAAAATAAAGTAGGTATTTATTAAAGGCCTTCAATAGGTAGACCTTGAGCAGTGCAAACACCTTGCAGAGGCTACACCCAAGATGACAATGGTCATGAGTTTCTCAGACAGATGTAAGTTTGGTCTATTTGCATATCAGGGGTTAATTGTCCAAATACAGCTTCAGGTAATGAAGTCATATTCCCCCAGTTTGCTCTTCGTCCCAATTCACTTTTGTTTATACTTTTGGGGCCTGAGGCCAAGGTTGTCCTTGGTTCTCAGGCCTGGAAGGATTGTTTTGTCTTGTTTTGCCTGAGCAAAATGTGAAGACAGTTAACTAATGATCTATATGGAGTTCAGAATTATACACTAATGCAATACAGGATCTGAAAAATATGAAAGATAAAAATTTAAGGCATCATCCTTTCAGGGAGTTGTAGAGAATGATAAGATTCCAGCTCAGCCTGCTTTCCTCCAGGCTAAACACTCGCAGCTCCCTCAGCCACTACTCAAAAGACTCATGATAAAGACCCTTCACCAGCTTTGATGCCCTTCTCTGGACATGCAACATTTAAATGATGTAGAGGTTACACAGTGCTAGAAGAGAGCTGTAGTTATCATCTGGGAAAACAGTCACTTCTTCATGATCTGTGCAGAAACTGAGGGACAACCAGCAGCCACAGCTCATTCACAGAGCTCAAAGCTGCCTGCCAGACACCAGCTCTGGAACCATTTCTCTCTAAGCTGGTGATGACTGGCCCAAGTGGAAAAGTAGATCTGAGAGTTTCAGACATTTGATTTGGAAATAAAAAGTTCTGTAGGAGAAAAAGAATATCTGAATATCTCTGCTGTGCTTCCTGAAGGCAAAAGATACCAGACAGTCCTTCAACTAAATGGCAGAGGGTCACCACTAAACAAACATTTAGTCCTCACATCCGTGAAAAGTTTTTTTTTTTTCTTTAGTTTCAAGTAAAGGATAAATCAGTTGGAAATTCTGTCACGGACTTTTCATGCCTTCACAGGAAACTGCCATTATCCAGCAAATGTGGTGATGAAAGGATGAGTGATCCTGTCGTCTGTAACATGAATGATTGCTGCAAGATGGAGATGTTACAGAGAATGTTACAGAGAAAGGCACCACAACAACTGTGGGAGTGCAGCATCAAGAAGCAGCAGGACATATCAGAGGTGACATCAGCTGTGTCACTGCCCAGCTGCAGCTTTTTAAAAAGCAGCAGTTGTCTGCTGAGAAATTAACAGACTTCCAAAGCCATCTGCAAGTCACTAGGTTTTCAAGTGATGGTCAAATTCTTAGTACCTGCACTTAATCTGGACATCTTCTTAAGCAGCAAAATGTGGAATATACCCTCAGATGTTGATATGTTCCAATATTTCAGTATTTTTGTGAGATTTGACTGTACTGATAAGTCTGTTAGGAAGTGCTAAGACATGGCAATTCAGATGCCTACCCTTTGTCATGGTCTCTGTGCATGAGACATTTTTAACACTAAAGGCCAAGAAGAACAGCTTGCTGTTCTTTTGTGAATATATCATGAACTTGGGCAAAAGCAACCTCAAACAAAGACATTTCTGAAGCTTTCAGACTGTCCTTTTGATGGATGTTCAAGGTGTTGCTTTGAAGGCTGGAAGCCCTTCATCATCAGTAACAGAGTAGTTGTAGCATATGTCTTACATTTTATGCACTTCATACACTACCCAAAGTCAACAAAGGCAGGTAAAAATAGAAATATAAATGTTGTGAATCATCTGGACATGCTTTTGATATCTTATCACAGACCTCACTAAATCAACTGAAATCAGTGAAAAACCATTGGTACCAAGACATTATTGAAACAATTCAGTCTCATCTCCTTCTGTTTGCAAAGTATCTGAGATTCATGTGATGACAGTCCTTTCGACTAGTATATTTTTAAATATTCCATAGCTGCCTGTTGTTATCCCTACAACATATAAGCAGAAACTGTATTTAGGAAGCATGTAGCATCTCTGGAATTCTTAGCAGAATTTATCTCTCCTGCTTTCCTGTGAAAGCATCACCAATTCTTGCCAGCCAGCTATAGACCAGATTGTAATGGAGATATGTGGCAAAAATATCTTCCCCTGACACAATGTCCCACTGAGCAGACATGTTATTTTTTTATTTATGCTATACTTACTGCCACAAGATCAAATGAGACCTAAAATGCTATTAATGCACTCAATGACATCTTCTTAGCATTAAATTCAGTCAAATATAGCAAGATGGAATGACAGTCTAGGCCAGATGTCCAGGGAGACCTGAGACAAGCGATTCTGAGCAGCTGCTGGCATGAAATCGAGCATTTGCAACACGTCACGTCCCTTCACATTTCAGTAGCAGTTCCAGGACTGGAGGACTCATCAGTGGTCAGTACAAAAAAAAACTTCCTCCCATTTCCTCCCTTTGATTCATGTGTCTCCCTGGAGCTTACATGGGATTATGTCTATTAAAACAGAGCCTGGCTGTGGCAATATATGCTGTTGTCTCAGAATGTGCACAAAATAAACAGCAGCTTGGCACGTGCTCTGGTCATGTTTTCCACCCACCCCGTGGTTTGTATGTTCGTGTTTTTTATGCAGAGCTGTCATTAAAACCACTGAAAGTTAACTACAATAGCTGTTAAAAATTCAATCTTCTAAATGTGTAGAAGGCCTAACCATCACAGAGAACTCCTTTCCTGTTCCTACTGCATTAACATGGAATTTAAAAGTGATATATGCATGAGAAATCACTCGGTCCTGTTCTCCATCTCCATTCTCCCCCAAAACAGCTCTACTCACACATGTAGGTAACAAAAAATTAACTGATCTCTCCCAGAATATTTCTGCTGGAGATGCTTTCATTACTTCATCCTCTGTTTCATGTTTATTTAGACCTGATCTAAACATCATGTCTCTTAAAATCTCTCTGCATGCAAAGCAATAAATTAAATAAGCATGATAACACTGATTCTGCCAAAAGCACTTTCCCTGTTTGAAACGTAGGAAGAAAAAAAATAGGGAAGGCTCTGGGATCATGTATTTAAGGGTAGAAAGTTACTGTGCAGGAGAAATTTCAGTCAGAGGTGAGAAGTGAGACTATGAGAGAGGAATAGCCCTGCAGACACAGAAAGAGGCTCAGGAGCTGCTCCAGGTGCTGGAGCTGAGGTTCCCTGCAGCCCCTGGTGCAGCCCATGGAGAGGCAGCTGTGCCCCTGCAGCCCATGGGGGTCCATGGGGAGCAGAGATCCCCCTGCAGCCCAGGACCCCACACCAGAGCAGGGTGATGCCTGAAGGAGGTTGTGAACTTGTGAAGCTCATGCTGGAGAAAACTCCTGGCAGGACCTGTGGACACATGGAGGGAGGAGCTCGTGCCAGAGCAAAGAGTGTGAGGAGTCCTCCCTGGTAGGAGGAAGGAGCAGCAGAGATGTGGGATGAACTGACCACAGCCCCCATTTCTCACTGAGCTCACCAGTGCAGGTAGAAGCAAACACCTTGGAGAGCGACTGTCACATATTCAGGATGAAGGATGCTCCTTTGTAATCGAATGAGAAGTGTTATGCTGGCCTGTGTGGACACAGGATGGGCTCAGAAAGCCACAGACAGATGGTATTATACTCTGACAGGCAGGTAAAAGATTTTTGGAGCAGACAACAAATGATGACCCAGGTACAAAGCAGAGTAAACCCTTGCTTTGGAAAAGGAAAATAACAAAATTGAAAAGGAAAATCACATTTTTGATGTTCAGCAGGTGTAACAGGAAGTTGTTTGAGTTGGTCAAGTGTGCCAATCAGAAGGGTTTAACATTTTCTATTAGAGCTCAGTTGTTTGGATGATCACACAAGATTTTCATAGGAAAAAAACCCAAAAACCAAGCTCCTTCACTATGCACAGCAAACAGTCATTATTCCCCACAACTCCCATTTTTATTGGGATTACACCATCCATTACCCATTTATGTTTAGGCTAAAAAAGCAGTAACATCTTGATGTTGATGGATAATGTCAGCTAGACTGCCTGCTTGCATTTGTCATACTTTAAGGACCCTACATAAGTCCAGAGCTTTTTTCTTACAAAGGGGGGTCACAGAAAGCAATAACAGATCTTCACAACATCAGCTACGAGGCTGATGATGTAGTCACAACACACACTGCAAAAAGCAGCAAAGCCAGGCAGGTTTCATGCAGTCAGTAAGAACAAGAGAGTGATTTATCAGTGGTGGAAGGAGAACAAGATGTGTGATTGCTGCTCCTGTTAAAGTGCTGGGAGATACCAGCCACAATGTCGTTCCCATCCTTTTCACCAAGGAGCTGGAAAATCAGGGTCATTTATGCACTGCAAATCCCCCACACTTTTCTCCATTAAAAGTCATTCAAAACATCACCAATGCTTATGCTGTTGGCAGCCAGAGCACTAGAGAACACCAGTTGTCAGCAGAGTTGAGACACTGAAAGGCAGAAAAGCACAAACAACCCTTTGCTTCCTTAAGGATCATTCCTGGCAGCACCCAGAGCATTCTCTCCAATTCCAGAAAATAAGGGGGAAAAGGGTCCTATACAAAGTAAACCAAAATCTGGGTATAAATAAGATTCAGTAGTCCAAATTATTATAAATTAATCAAACTATATCAGAGCCAAAAGGTAATTCATGGTTTACTCTGGAATCTAACCTATGGTTAATACTGACTTTCCAGAAAAATCCATCACATCTCCTGTAGTGAAACTGTAGAAACAAAATCAGAGCATAGTTTGGGTTGGAAGGGACCTTAAAGATAGCCTAAATTCCAAATCCCTGCCATGAGCAGTACTCCACTAAATCAGCTTGCTCAAAGCTCCACCCAGCCTGGCTCTGAACAGTGACTCCTTACGGAGTGGAACTGAGTAGAAGACATGAAAATAAAGTATAAGCCTGAAAGAAAGCAATCACAGCTTTTCATATCTATATGCTAACTGAACCTATTCTAATTTTGCAGAAAGGAAAGTTCTACTTACTCTCACAGAGACGCCTCCTCAGCTTCCCCCGAATTTTATCAATGGCGTTGTAATCAGACACATGAAACACATGAGCAGACTTGGGCTCTGAAGCAATCTCATCAAGTTCCTCTTTTAAGGCTTCTCCAACACCCACAGCAAAAATCCTAATCCCAGCCTGATGGGCTGCAGTGGCTGGATCCAAGACAAAATCCTGGCTCCTTCCATCAGTCAAAAGGATAGCCACCTTTTTAACAGTTCGGTCACTAAGTCTCCCACCAGCTTCCTTGGAAAAGCTGTAGGTGGTGATGTACCTGAGAGCATCTCCAGTGTTGGTGTTACCCCCATAATACTGAATCTTTCGTGCAGCCTCTTTGATTTCCTCACGGGTTTTGTACTTCCCCAGGTCGAACTCTGTGGTTGGACGATCGCCGTATCGCACCACACCTACACGCGTTTTGTCTGGGCCAATCTCAAAAGTTTCCACCAAATTAGACACCCACTGACGAACTTTCTCAAAATCTTCTTTTCCAACGCTGGAGGAGGCGTCCAAGAGGAAGACAAGGTCGTAGTGAACACTCTTGCAACCTGCAAGAGTGGCAGAAAACATTCTTAAAGGGAGATGAATGCAGAGGACAAGACATACCAAATATTCCCTAGACACAGCTCCCCAGTGAGCAATTTGGAGGAGGCAGCAAACACTCTCCCAATTTTGCAGAGGAAGAGCAGAATCCCAGCCCTTCTTCCTTGTGATTCACCTCATCAGTTTCAGGACATCTGCAGAGCAGCACAGACTTCATTTTGAAATGCAAACATTTCCCTTCCTTTTCTTCTTGCTACCTCTGCACAATCCTTCAGCTACACCCTCTCAATGTACATGAAGATATTTTTCTCTGACTTCATTGCAGTGCCTTTGCTCAGTCAGTGCTCTGAAATGACCTGGACACATCAAAAGCTCTGTCTTGACCTTGCCTATGCCAATCCCAACCCTGAGTCATGAAGCTTTTGTGTCCCCTCTTGCATTAATGTTATGATTCATTTATGCTTAGCTAGAAGCAGTTCTTTTCCCAGCATGATATGTTGATGTAGAAAGTCTATAACAAGATTATTTCAAATTTGAGGCTTTCTGCCACTGAGTATTGGCTAAAGGATGACTTACTGAATTTTGGAATGTGTTCCTCAACAACAAAGGGCAGCTGCCTTGTAAGGGAAAAGTTCATTTATCCCCACAACCATCCCTTTGACCCAACCATGATATTTGCAGTGTGAGGCCTGTATAATCCAAAACACAAAGCTATTTTAATTGCAACTTGCTTGCCCTATATCAATCCAGACTGATTGTGTATTTGTCAAACACTTGCCAAAAAAGTAGATCTCTCAGGAGATGTTTTTTAGCTGTTTCTGGATACGTGCAAGTCAGGAAGAAGTAGATCCATTAAAGTGCCACTGAGGCCCAAGAGTTATCAACATAATGCCCCAACTGCACAAAATGTATATATATATATATATATATATATATATATATTTACATTTGTTTAAACCAGTATTATAGACCATAATCCCTAATAAATTATGAGTTTTAAGATTGAAAGCTGCTCTACAAAGTCAGTTTGGTCACAGCCGCCAACCATTGCTTCTCCAGCAGTTCTTGTCTTACATTGCCTCAAAAAGGACAACTGCATATTTGAACTAGTGGCAAAATTACATATTTCCTACTGAATTCCAGCATTTGAACCTACAGGAAGGTCACAAAATCTCCTTCCACACTCAGATTTTGACACAAAGTAGCTCTGGCCCTTTTGCTCATCCCAGGGTTGTGACCCTGCCCAGAATGGAAGGATTCCAGAGCAGCCCACAGCACTGTAAAGGAGGGAGTGGGTATCTCAGCTACACAGAGAGGATTTGCCTTCAGAAAAAAGTAAAAAAGAATTATAAAAGAATAGGTCAGTGCTCAAGGCATTGCATGATGACCATGAGAGTGATTGAATGTACACTTGGAGTGTGGCAGGTGAGGAGAAATGAGCATCACCTGCTGCTGCGTTGATTTCTGTAGCAGAGCACATCCCAGTACACCCCAGGTGCTGCAGGGCCTGTGGGAACAACCTCTGCTCATGGGATTTGGATCACATTGGGATCAGCCCATCCACATTGGTATCTCTTTGGAAGCAACCTGTTATTGTGGTTTAACCCCAGCTGGCAACCAAGCACCACACAGCCCCTCACTCACTGCCCTCAGCAGGACTTGGGGGGAAGAGAATTGGAAAGGTGAAAGGGGGAAAACACATGGGTTGAGAGAAGAAAGTTTAAAAAATAAATAAAATAAAATAAAATAAAATAAAATAAAATAAAATAAAATAAAATAAAATAAAATAAAATAAAATAAAATAAAATAAAATAAAATAAAATAAAATAAAATAAAATAAAATAAAATAAAATAAAATAAAATAAGGAAAAGTTGTGATGAAAAGCAAAATAACAAAGAGATATAAATAAAACCCAAGAAAGAGGAGTGATGCAAATGCAAACAGTTGCTCACAGTCCCCAAGCAGCAGTCTCCAGCCAAGTGTCTCCCCACTGTTTTATTTCTGAGCATGACACTACATGGTTTGGGATATCCCTTTGGTCAGTTAGGGGCAGCTGTCCCGACTTTGTGCCCTCCAAATTTCTTGTGCTCCCCCAGCCTCCTGGCTGCTGTGAAGAGGAATAAAAAAGCCTTGGCTCAGTGTGAGCTCTGCTCAGCAGTAACAAAAACATCCCTGTGTCATCAACACTGTTTCCAGCACAAATCCAAAGCACAGTCCCAGAGCAGCTACTGTGAGGAAAATTAACTGTATCCCAGCCAAAACCTGCATGTGGGACTGTGTTCTGGGATAGCATTTTGTGAGTCAGAGAGTGCTTGTCTCTAACTCCAGAGCAAGTCTGTCTGGGAAAACTCTCTCAAAGGCAATCTGAGAGTGGAGTTGATGGTTTATATCATTTTATATTATGGCATGCAAGTTACATTAAATCTGTGTATATCAGCTGCTTTCAAGAGTGGTTCTGCTTCATTTTTGGAGAATATAAAAGATTAACAGTAAAAGGTAAGAAAACACTTCCCCACCTCACCCCCTTCCTAAATTCATTATTATATTAATCTATTCTGGCTGAAAGAATGTTAATTAGGTGAGACTAACTAGAGAGAAAAATCCACAAGGTACAGACCTTCCTGTTACTTATTTTAATGACTCTCAGCAGGTGAGACAACAGCAATTTTGAACAAACAGAACAGACAGAATGAATTCTGTCTGTGTTCAAGGGCAATGAGCCTTAAAACAAGGGGGAGTTAAGGCTTAAAAAGTGATGCCTATTCAAGGCAGTATTGAAGGGAAGAAAAACATGGTCTTCCAGGATAATTTTTTTTTTTTTTTGGCATTGGTGATCCTTTGCTTACAGACCTGGTGGCAGGGAGATAAAATGCTGCAGAAATGCTTTTAGTAAATATTAATCTGCATTTTTAGCACTCTAATGTCAACTGCTGGACAAAATTGATTGTTTTCCAAGAATGCTATGACAGTACTTTTTACTGGCAGAAACAATTCAGCTCATGTTAAGGGACTATGGGAGATAACTCATAGAAAACAAAATTTCAGTTTTGTAATTGCAGGAACACTCTCTGGGAGCATGATTCAAGGAGTTGTGTTCATCTACTCAGACACAGAACCAACTGTTTTGCAATATTACCTTTAAATATAGTTCACAAACAAGCCATAAGCCCAAAATTATTTAAAGAAAGCACAGAATGAACATATAAATGGCTTCACTATATTCTGCCTGTGACAGGTCCAGAAGCAGAGAAAAAAAAAAGTGAGATTTCACTTTGGTAACTAAGTATTTATTCCTGGAAAACTTCACCCAAAAAACCACAGAGATCACATAGGAAAGCTGTAAGCAGCTATTCCTTAACTTGAAAGAAGGTCTAAAAAAGCCTTTTTCTTTCTTATAAATTACCCAAGCCTACAGAATAGCAGCTTTCCTAGAAAAAGAGACAAAAAACCTCCATCTCAAAATGTCTTTAGACATAAAAAATTGTGTGGGCCTACAACCATTTTTGATTCGAGTTGTGGCATCACTGATGTCAGATAACTCTTCTTTCTGCTGCACAAAAACCAGTGTGTCCTTGTCAAGGATCCCTGTAAGAACAGTCCCTGTAAGAACAGCTACATCATCCTCTAATGCACTCAGTGGCATTTGGGGGAGAATGTTCATGAGCCCGGGCCAAAAGCTGTGCCAGAGTCCATGCTAATAACTAGACAGCAGAGAAACATAGAATCCTAGCGTCATTTAGGTTGGAAAAGACCTTTAAGATCATGAAGTTCAACCATTAGCCCAACATTGTTAAGTCCATCTCTAAACCATATTCCTAAGCACCACATCAAGACATCCTTCAAATATCTTGAATCAAGGGAGGGTATGAACAGTGCCCTGGCCTTGTTTAGCTCACAGGAAAGTCACAGCCAGGCAGAAGATTCACCAGGTCTCATCTGACACCCACAGGAGGCGATGGAAGAAGTGATCTCCATGCCAGTGTGGGGTAGATGGAGCACATCCAGAGCAAACTGTGGTGAGCTGCTCCTCTTGCTGTGGGTAGCTGAGCTAAACTTTCTAAGCCTGCAACAGAACAAAAGACCCCAGGTAAATCACAGCCTTGACCCCCGGGCTTTCTCCATCCCTAAGGTCTCTTTTATGTATTTCCAGCAGTAAATGTCTTGGGCTGTTTATAGATTTCCTCCCAGAACTGATGGCTTCCCAGCCATGGGAGATGTGCAGCAGCCCCAGGGCATGAGGCAGCAAACTGAACGCGTACCTGCTCTTTGTGCCTCGGTTCTCTCCCCGCTGAACACGAATGTGAGAAGAACCAAGAGATGGGGCACGCGGCACCTTCCCATCATGGACATATCCATATCTCCTTTCTCACATCAGCTCCTCTTTTCTCCGTGGTGCAAAGCTTGCTAGAAATCCAACCCGCAGCCTAGAAAGGGAAATAAAGAGCAAGTGTTATCTCACAGCAACACAAACGGCAGTAATGATGCAAGTCATGAGAGCAACGTTTTGGAGAGTCGCCTCTTCTGCCTGTCATTTTACTTGACTAGACATAAACTGCTCAGACAAAGAGGCAGGAGTTCACCTACTTTTCAAAAGCTATACTCGTTCACTGGCTCTATTCACTGTGAAGCAGCTGAATGGAAACAGGAGGGAGATTACCAGATTATTATACTTTAATTGAGCCCACTGCCAACTACACAATCAGCGCACTGGAGTGGAAACCATTCCTGACCTGGCCCTCCCACGCATTCATCATTAGGAGATACACAGTGCAGAGCCCAGATACAAACCACTACAAATCACACACACAACCCGTTGCCACTTCACCCATCACTGCTTTCAGTTCTGGAGCCCCAAAGCTCCAGATAAGCTAAAAATACACCACTGTTTTCATGTATATATTTGTTGCCATCAGTCCTTCTTTGTAGGACTGAACTCAGCAGTTTCAAAACGTGTCTTTCCGTTATTTAGCTAAAAGATGTGCAAAAGCTCAGGGTTATGCTCAATACGAGCTCTTTGGTTTGAGTTGACTTTGAGTGGAGTCACTGAAGTCAGAAGGTATTGTAAGAAGGCAGGCAAAGTGGCTGGGATTTTAAAAGTTAAGTTGTGCTTTCTAACACTAGATCAACACTTTAAAAATTATATGGTTTTGCTCTTGTTTTATTATTTTTATTATATCATAAAGTCATTGGAGTTTGATCTACTGTTTGCACATCCATAAGGTAGAAACCAGCTTCCACTCTGCAGCTCTCACTGCCTGAGGCATTATTTTCAAAAACTTTTTCCCGTCTTCTGATCCCTTTTTTTTTTTCCTCTTTAAGGATTCTAATTATTTCTTTGTCCATTTTCTTGGGGAAGTTCCGCCTTCTCGGTGTTTTAACATGCACGTCTGCTTCACACTGTTGATAGCTGGGTAGAAGTCATGAAGGGGACACTGTCTGATGTAGTTCATTGCTGCAGGGTCAATTATCCCTTCTAGGGTATTTTTTTTCAAAGCAATAAGGTTCTGTGGGAATCACAGACAGGAAGAACGGTGGCGTCAGCATTTGTTCAAAAGAAAAATGCAGGCTCTTTACAAAAGATAAAAACCAAGTTATTTTCAGAAGCCCGTATCATATGCAGACAAGGAGAAAAGCAATACATATAATAAACCCTTCACTGCAAATAAAATTTGGAAGTATCTGCCAGCAGTGGAACACAAACACAAAGATTTTTAAAAAATTAAATCATACTTATTCATGTACCAGCCCTAAATACAAAGGTTACAATCAGGTGCTGTAGTTTACACCTCAGCCAGATGATGTCCCTACCAGACAGTGAGGTGTTCAGGTTTGAGCCAGCTGGAAAAGGCTGCAGGGTAAAAAAGGCATGAAAATACCACTGTGCCCTACAGGAGTTAGACTTTCCTTCTAAATAAGTCTGTTATTGAAATACCAATCAGGCAGCCGCCTGCAGAGGGATCAAGACAGGCATTACTTAAAATATCTGTGTGAGCCTTCAGCCCAAGGTTTTTGCTCCCCTGGATTTTTTTAGGAAACATTGTTTTTGGGTACAAGTGATGGGACAGCAGGTTCGTGGCAGCAGCAAGAGCTGGGAAACCAGATCTGCCAAGCGACATCCTGCACTTCCAGGGCTGAGCTCTGTAGTCTTCTCTGTGTCTGGGCTTGCACGGCTGTGAAGTTTTATAAATACGTTCTTAAAAACAGTCTTGGCCAGCTGCTAACCTACATGAGGCCAGGATAAAAGGAGCAGAGCACCAGCTGGTGTCAGTCAGCAGAACAGCTCTGGCTCTGAGCAGCAGACACAGCTTGGTGGATGGGGCTCACTTGGTACATGTGAGATTTTACCCCAGAAGAAGGACTTCCTCCATGGCCAGGCCTGAGGGCTCTGTCTCTAAGGCCTCATTCATCTCCCCTCCTTGCCAAAACACTTCCAGGACTCATTTCTGCATTTCGAATGCTGCAAGGTGTCTCAGAACAGCCATTTAGGCTAAAAATAGTGGCAAAAAAAAGCCACAAATCAAATTAGAACATCTGTTTAAAATCTATAATCATAACTTGTGGTGGCTTTAATACACATTTATGGTTTAATATTATTCTTGCATTCAGGCCAAAATATATAATTTTATCCAATTTTACAGCATAAAGAATTGAACCAAGTCTCTTAATTGGCAACTACTTTATGTACAAATATATCAGTGACAGAAAATTGTCCCATGCACATCAACAGGACTCATGCCAAGGCAACAAAGTCTTCAGAGGTGTTAGAAGAAAGGTTGGAAATATATATTTTAGTGGTGGGTTTTCCACACTTGTTTCTTTCCCACCTCAGTCAGACACTTTGAGACTGAGCCAAGTTAGAAATTGCAGCAGCTGACCACTATTCATTTTCCTTTCCAGGAGAAATGGTCAAAAAGGAATCAAAACTGGGACAGTTTAGGTTTCAGAGTGATCCAAGACTAAGAAATTATCTTTATTTAGCCCTATTTCCAAATGGCCAACATGGATTTTTTTTTTAATTGCTATTATTTTTAGTTCAGCCTATCATGTGGGAATAATTTTGACCAAAGAGGCCTAAGTCAACGTACATCATTTAAAAATACCTCCCATTTTATTTTTATTTTACAAACAGCACTTTGAGATTCCCTTGTGATGCATTAAGGGATATTGCAAAAAGAACTGACAAATCCTGTCACGTCTGAGTTTATTACTGAATTGAGGACTGAGGCTCCATTTTTAATACTTTAATGGGAAAAAATGAAGTGAATACTTCTGGCTACGTGCAAACATGATGTGGGAATGGCATCCTGGCTGAGAAGTTGGTGAATGTTAGAGTAAGCTCTCTACTCTCAAAATACAAGCACAGCATAAAGCTATTCATACCATCTCACAGCTGAACAAACAATATGCAAAAGATAGGCATAAGTTCTATATGACTTTCAGCTTCAGAATGGCTTTTGTGGGGGGTTAGTGTAGAGTTTTAGGTCAGTTATAATCCATGGTAAGGTCTCTCTAGTTTTGAACCATAAGTAAATACACTTAAGGGAATGTAGGACGAAAACATCAATTTAAAGAAAAAAAAAAAAAAAAAGAGCCAAAGGAGAACTCAGACTTCTGATCTCAACACTGTGATTTGGAAAACAAGGATGAAAAACTTTTTTGTGGAAAATGAGAAGCAAAATTGTTTGTTTAGGAGTGGCATCCTTAAAAAATAAAAAGACACAGAGGGGGGCAGAGAAGAAAACTTCATGGTACTTCAAGGAGAAGTAATTTGCACTGGCTCTGGATATACCCCATCTGAGTCTCTCCAGACACTGCTCTTCTGTCCTGGTTTGAGAGACTCCACAAACAGCAAAACCCACGTGAGTTAGAGATGGAACAACACAGAACACTTTCTGTGATCGCCTTCATTCTTCAGAGGAGTGATTCAGCCACAAATATCCATAAAACAAAACAAAATAAACCTGGAGTCACAGTAAGATGAGCATTTCAGGAGCGTGATTTAATAAAACTTTTTCTATCTCATGCGAGCAAAAGTTCAAAGACCCTACAGGGACAGTACAAAGACCACTGAATCAAAGTGGAATGGTAAAAGTATGCCCAGTTATGTACTTTAGACTCCTCATTAAAATATTCAAGCTCTTACTTGCATTTTACTAAATTATAGCACTGAACTCTTTGTCTTACTGTTAAATTCAAGGGGGGCTGATTCTATTATTGTGCTTGATTTCATCCATTCGTCTGCTGCCACTGAACATCACCATATGCCATATAAATGTTGTAACTATGCTGGCATTCATAATGTGATTTTAAATGTCTTTGGTATGCTCCTCTGAAGAAGAGGTTAGCCGGGGGTGAAAAAGACAGTGTCCAATTATACAGCTTTTCACACACACACAAAAAAGAAAAACAAATATAAAACCCAGCACACTAATACATCTGACATCTTAGTAGAGTCAGCTTGTTGATTGTGCCTCTTCCAACTACTGAACTAAGCAATTTAATTATCTAAATTATTGCTGATATGAGCAGGAAGCCAACTGTATAAAAGAAGGACGGGACTTTCTTCCCTGCTGATCATCCCATGCGGCCGTATATATCTTTGTTCGATGATTTTTAAAGAAATCATCCAATGGCATTTCTGGAAGATGTGTATCTTCCCAGGCCTGATCCAAAGCCAAGCTGAAGTTAGTTAGTGAAAAGAGGGACACTGATTTCAGTGGGCATTGTTTAACAACCCATGTGAATAATAGAGCAGAAAATTCTCTGCTATCATCAGAGCTATTCCTGAGGTATTCTGCTCAACTACAACTGAGCCAAAGTCTGCTGAAATCAAGGAGGAGACTGTCAGCAGACCCACAGAATATTGGATGAAACCATTCATGCACTCTGATAGCAAAAACTCTTCAATCTCTGCTCTAAGTGCTGGCAAGGCTGCAGGGGGTGGAACATCTCTTCATTTGCAATGATAGAATCACAGAATTGTTTGGGTTGGAAGGGACATTCATGATCTCATTCCAACCCCTGCCATGCACAGGGACACCTTCCACTACACCAGGATGCTCAGAGCCCCATCCAGCCTGGCCTTGAACACTTCCAGGTACGGGGAGTCCATAGATTCTCTGGGTTCACTTTTAAGAGCAGCTTCTCTCCCAATCCCTAAAAAAACTGATCAGAGTGATGGTTAACATGAATGTGAGCCAAAGCAATCTGTCAGCTTTATGGGAGATGAAATAGGGTGGTGGGAAAGATCAGCAGACCATTCCATCCCATCGATTTGTTTGCCTTAGCTGAACTCTATTACTGCCCTTAAGTACTTGGTGCTGGAACTGCCCAGGCCCATGAATGATTAATACTGCTGCAAGTGGAAGTGTTTGATTGTGCGAGAAATAAAGTACATACTGATAATTTAGGAGGGGAAAAATAA